GACGCAAAATACTCCATTAAACAATACTTTTTGAACACATTGTTACTCGAACATAATATTTACCGGGCCATCGAATCGTCAAACTGTCGCTAGGCCCTGCTTGAAGTCCGTACGGTGAAAGCATTTGTGCTAGGAAGAACTTTTTACATAAGCCGTCTTCTTCGCTACAATTCTTTCAATGTGCGGAGCAACTTCTAACACTAAAGGCTTTCTTCCTTAACCTCTTCGGCTGCCTAACAACTCTTTCCCTGCTACTGTGCCATATCGCACGACTTTAACACGCTACGAAGCGTGTCATTTAACACGCTGTTGAAAATAAAAGATTAAGCGTGTTTCAGAGTCTGTCCACAACAGGACCAGGCAGGCGTGACAAATGCCATCTCACCGATTTCTCTCAAACTTTCACATATGATTAAGGTCATAAAGTTATTCAAGATTCCAAAGTAGTTTGGGCTCCCGGTTAATCCCTGGGGTGAAGGGCTTTCACATCAAATCCCAGGGATAAACCCCAAAATTAACCCTAAAATTGTACTTTCAAAAAGGATCTCCCGCACTGATAGGACGCGGTAGATTTTAATCTAATTTCCTCCAACAATCCTTTGAACCTTAAGTAATAGAAAGTTCGAAGTTGGACTGATTTGAAATTAATCTCGCCAATCGAGAGCATTTCCTAGTTAACCATGTCACGCGACAATTTTAAGAGACCGAAAATTAGGCTTTTTTAATCGCAAATATCTCCGATGGGCAACGTTACATGTCGATCAACATGTGATCACAGTAAAACCCAATCATAGTACTATGTTTCTGACGAAAAACATTTCTGGCCTCTGTGAAATATTCGTGATCACATTCCTCCGAAGTGCGTGACAGGCAAAGTTAATTTAAGCACTTTGCGATCAGAAGCAGCTAGTTAATGAGCCGAATCAAATCGCGTTATGGTATATGTGACGCTAGTTGTTTTGTTTTTTGGCTCTAAAAGTATTAACAGGTGTTAAGCTGCATAGTTAAGGCGTTGAAATAATTGCACCAATTCGTAGATATTGACACAATTCACTGACAGTTACTAGCAGATCTAATAACACCGATTCGGGTTTATACGCTGGAAGTCAATAGCTAAAAAAAACTATGCGAGGTATATTTTGTACTTTTTTTACTTTCCATACTTGTTAAATTTACTATGAAACTTAGGATGCACTTAAACTAATTTCCTTCTAGAGAAAAAACAGCTGTCATGCAAATTTAGGTGTTTGGCGTGACACGTGCTCCCGTCACATGTACTTGCATGAATTCAGGGTTGAAATTCCCATTCTACCTTAAATAAACTTATGTTATTTTACCTTTGTAAAATCTGATTGCATGATTGTTTTCAATGCGGAGATCCTTCAATCAGGCTAATGTAAACACCGTCACCATGAGAAGATAACAAAGATAACAAAAAAGCACGTAGTCTTTTCTTGCCAGTGAGGTCTTGCTGTTTTTTTTTTCTTGTTACTTGGTCTATTTTTTTGTAGCGGCAACCTAAAGCTATGGCTGCCCAATTGTCTTGTTCGTTCTCTTCGCATCCCAATAGCACTTGTGATTTTTCAGTGACATTTCCAGGGAAAAATGAATTATTTCCTTTGTTATCTTGTGCGAGGGATATCAAATCTCACTTGCGACAACTGAAGTTTGCTCAAACATCTGTGGAAATAAACGATTTATTCACGAAACGCAACGAAAAACTTTGACATTACATTTCATTCCGACCATCTCGACCCGAACGTCGAGCTTACGTTTTGCAATACGTCATAAACTCGCACACAGTCTCCACTAACTTGGACCCAGTGTCCACTCACTCAACTGAGCAACGCCTTACACAAATTGAAAACAAAGTAACACGGAACATAAATTTTCAGTTCGGAACATCCTCCCGCCCTACGCAGGGAGTGCATCACTTCATGTAACTTGCCAACTAATTTCAATAAAGTTCAACTGAAATGTTCAACAATGTCTAATCAAGTTCAGTTAAGTTCAGCAGCTAAGTCAGCATCACAGGCTTCAAATAGGTGTAGCCGTTGTACTGGACGACGGGTAACACTTCCAGATGAGGTCCGAAGAGTAACGGACCGGACAAGACCATCGCGGCCTGTGTGGGTGTCTTCCACTCGTGCACGTGACCACTGACCCCGAGCTAGGCGATCCCCTCTCACAAGGACCAAGTCACCTTTACGGATTTCACGACCAATCTTATCCCATTTCTTGAGGGGTGTCAGGGATTTCAGATACTCTGCATGCCAACGCTCCCAAAATCCATGTACGAGCCTCTGATGATACGGAAAACGTTTGGTGAGGGCTCTTGACGCCTGTTCTGAAACACGAGTGTCTTTAGTCGGACATGCTTGAAGATTTCTGCAGGGGTAATCACACTGTAGTCATCAGGGCCTGCACCAAGGTAAGTAAGAGGACGATTGTTTAGCTGTGCTTCAATTTCAGCCAAAATAGTAGTTAACTGCTCGGCATCTAACGTTGCTTTGGCAAATAGTTTCTTCAATGGCGTCTTGACACTCTTTATAAGTCGCTCATAAAACCCACCCCACCACGGGGCCTTCTCCACGATGAACTTCCACTGAATCTTCTTTTCGGACAAAACACTCTGGGTTTGGTCTGATTCCAATACTCTCCAACATTGCCGTAGCTCTTTGTTAGCAACCTTGAAAGTTTTTGCATTATCTGACCAAATAATGCTGCACATTCCTCTTCTTGCAATCATGCGTCTAAAAGTAAGGAGAAAGCGCTCAGCCGTCATATCACACACCAACCCTAAGTATGTACCGCACGGGTAACTACACATGTAAATAAATAGATGTAGACTTTATCACCACTGTCTTTCAAATACAAAGGACCGGTAAAGTCTAGACCCACATTAGTGAACGGCGGCGCAGGTTTAATTCTGTCCTCAGGAAGTGGTGCCATCTGCTGACCAAAGGGCTTTGTAAGGTAATGGCGACAAATTAGACAGTTCCTTTGTGTCTGACGGACAGTTGATCGTCCTTTGATCAACCAAAATTTCTATCGCAAAACTGACAAAGTGTGTTCAACTCCAGCATGTAGTTCACGAAGGTGAACATCATCAATCAGCAACTTAACAACAGGATGATTAGACGGCAAGATAATAGGATGCTTCTCCTCTTCTGGTAACAGTGACTTGTGAATTCTTCCTCCAACACGAAGAAAACCACTAGTAGGACACATAAACGGGTTCAAATTGGCCAGGTTGCTGTCTTTCTCTGAACCATGCTGTTTACTTGACGTAATTTCTTCAGGAAAACTTGCTTCTCGTACATGAGATTTCAACCATCTCTCGGTATTCTGTATCTCTGAACCGGTTAAGATGCTGTTAATTCTTTCGTCTTCTTTCACCCTTGAGTTGCTAACAAATCTTTTGATCCAAGCAATGCAACAGTTCTTAGCAAGCGACTATACTTGCTGAACCTTGTGAAATCAGTAAATGGCTCTCTGGGTCGCACAACATAACTGACACTAGCTTTACTCTTCCTCTCTGGATCAACAATTTCATTGGAAGGTTTTGACCTTAAATCCTCGGGCCAATCTTTCTCGGACTCCTGCAACCAAGAGGGTCCTTTCCACCACAAATGACTCTCCCCTAGCTGACTTGCAGATAAACCTCGGGTAGGTAGATAGGCTGGGTTCTGCGGTCCTGGACAATACCTCCAAACACTGGGATCCAGCAACGACTGAATTTCAATAACACGATTGGCAACAAATGGTTTCCACTGCGAGGCGGCTCCTCTGACTCAGTGTAAAGTTGACGAATTGTCTGTCCAACAAACAATGCGGCTAATGGGACAATCGAGTGCACCTTTGACATAGGTGCAAAGTCTAGCGGTAATTACACCAACCATCAACTCTTAGCGTGGTAGGGTAATATTCTTTACAGGAGCCACTCGGGTCTTTGACATTACAAGACTGGTAGATGCCTTTCCATCTTCACGAACAATTCTCAGATAAACTGCAGAGGCATAAGCAACTTCCGAAGCGTCACCAAATGCGTGTAGCTCCACTTTAGGACTCTGACTTAATGGAAAATCAGTGTAACATCTTGGAATGTGAAGGTACTCAAGTTCTGAAAGCTCTTGAACCCACTGATTCCATTTCAATGAGACTTCCACGGGAACTTCTTCATCACATCCGACACCTCGGGTCCACAAACTTTGCAGAATCAATTTTGGCCTCACTGAAAAGGGTGCAGTTAGACCAATCGGATCAAATATCTTTGCTGCTAAAGACGCCACCTTTCTTTTAGTGTACTCTGTCTTCGATCTCGACTTAACAATGTCCACATCAATTGCAAAGACGAGGCTTTCAGTTATCGTATTCCACTTTAAACCTAATGCTTTCGTGATCGGATGTGATTCTGCTAGATTACTCTCCAGGTTGACAAAACTAACAGCTGCTCTGTCCCTCTCGGGTATGGCCTCCGTAAGCTCAGACGAATTACTTGACCATTTTGTCAAATTAAAGGCAGCTTTCTGCATAAGCTCAGTTGTACTTCGTTGCAATTTCAGCGTTTCCTGCACATTGTCTCTCCCTGAAGCAATGTCATCAACATAAGTGTTCCTCAAAATTTCGCTTGATGCAACAGGGAATGTTTCTTCACATCTTTTCACATGCTCTTGAATAGTGCCGATGGCAAGAAACAGACTGGAAATAACTCCAAATGTGACCCTTGTCATTCTATAAATCTTAGGCGTGACCTTGGGGTCCAAATCTCTCCATAGATACCGGTGTGAATCTCTGTCTTCTTCTTTTAACAGAATCTGCAGAAACATCTTCTCTATGTCACCTATTATGCCAACATAATTCTTTCGAAAACGCAGAAGAATTCCGACCAAATCTGGCTGCAATGCTGGGCCTGGCTCTGAGCAGATGTTCAGAGAGATACCACAGCTATCTTTCGCTGATGCATCAAACACAACTCTTGTCTTGGTTGTCTGCTTGTCTTATCTGATGACTGCATGATGAGGCAGATAGAACACAGGACGCCCATCTGTCGGTGTTATTTCATCACAAGGTACTTTTTCAGCGACACCATTCTCAACATACTTGTTAATCGCTTCTCTGTACGACATAGCTTTCATTGGCTCTTGGAGCAGCTTCTTTTCTAGATTGTACAACCTGCTCTCTGCCTGCCGGTAATTATCTTTCAATGCAACATTATCTTCCTTCCATGGTAAGGATACTTCATAACGACTATCACTGTACGTTAGTGTCTCTTTAAACTTCCTCAATACCACATCTTCAACATTTGTAGTAGAAACTGAACTTTCAGCAGGTCTAACACCAATGGACTCCAAATCCAAGAACTTTTGAAGTGTTTCATTCAATTGTTCCTCAACACTAATTTGAACATTCATAGACACAGTGCATTCTTGGTCATGACCACCTGTTGGTCCACAGAAGACCCAACCCGAAGCTGTGTGAACTGCAACTGGCTCACTGGAACCCCCTCTTACAATGTCTTTTGTCACAAAGGAATAATAGAAATCTAATCCAATAAGCACACCAATCTCCTGTTCATCTCTGGGGAACTCTTCAGAAAATGCTATATTTCGAAGATGAGACCATCTTGCTGGATAAAGATCCACAGCTTTAGCTGGCCGGCACATCACTGCTGTAGTAAGTGCTTCAATACACTGAGGTTGTCCAGATTTGTCAACAGGTGCCACAGTAAACGCAATTCTCTTCCGCAAAGTGCTTTTGGTAGCCTCTCCTCCAAATCCAGAGACTGCAATTTTGACACTCTTCCCATCAAGACCAGGCTCATCAATTACACGCTGCCGAACAAACGATGTGTGAGAACCAGGATCAAAGAAATATCTCACAACTTTTGAACACCCATTCAGTCCACAAAAAATAGCTGGCACAGTCTGCAGTATCACTTTTCTACCTGAGCCCACTGCAACAGAATTTGCCACAACTGAAGATGGCACAGGAGGACCTGACGACGAGGATGGTAATTCAGGGGATGATTTCACCTTCCCTTTTTCCAAGTGAGGCCGAGCTGAGTCCTGATGCAGGAGACTGTGATGTTTTCCTTGGCAGTGCTTGCATGGAGGCTTCTGGCATACTTCAGCTCTATGGCCAGATTCAAGGCATCGGAAACACAGGCCTTTAGACGTTGCCTTTCTGAACCTTTCTTTTACAGGCAATTACAGAAAACTGAGACATGACCTCAAACCATGGTTTTTGTAGCAAATGACTGACTTTCCCTCTTGCGTTGTCGCCCATAATACAGAGTTGGATGATTTTTGTGAGCTGTTAAACTTGAAACGTTTTTTACAATCTCCCGGATTTTCCTTTTCAGGTGTTTTTGAATCAAGAGAAGGAGGCTGGGAAGACTCTTGAGCTCTTATCAATTGTTCCAAGAAAGCAAACAGTGTTTTCACTTCTACACAGTCATGCTTAGCCTTTTCCTCGCTGAGCTCCAGTTCCCATTTTTCCGCAACTTCCTTTGGCAGCTTGTCCACTATAAGGGGCACCAAAACTGGAGCCAAAGTTTCAGAGTTAAACTTTTCACCCATGGACTCGACAGAACGAACATGACCTATCACTTCATCGTAAAATTTACGCATGGAGGTTGCATCATCACAGTTCAAACGTGGCAAATGGATCAAGGATCTTACATGTGCATCAAGTATTAACCTTGTGTTCCCAAATCTTCCTTCCGGATTTCTAAAACTGGTTGATAATTCGCCTGAACCACTGCTTCAGCGGCCGAACCCTTTAGCGACCTCATCAAATACTATAGTTTTTGGACTGCCAACGATGCATTGTCAACTACCGAAACTTTTATCAACTGATAATAGGGATGCCAATTCAAAACATTACCGTCAAAGGTTGGTAGATTGATCTTGGGTAGCTTAACTTGTACTTGAGAAGATGACTGAGATGCGGGTGGACTGCTTCCAGCCAATTTCACTTCTGAAACATGTTTAATTGCAAGATAACTCGTCATTTTAGCCATGCTTTCAATTACACGCGCTTCATACTCATTGTGACTCTCACATTCAGCATCAATGTCTGCACCTTCCAACATAGTGCACATTGTGCCTTGCACTTCTTGCAAGTCGCTCCACTTACTTGCGATATTATCCTTCAACACCTGAACTCGTGCATGATTATCTTGTGGTGACAGGGCTTCGTCGATTGACTTCAACGTGTCTGTGACAGATTTTCTCAGAAATCTTCTCTTTTTCTTGATGATAGCTTCTAAATCTTTCGACATTTTCAAACACCACAAATTTCACTGACCTCAACTAATCGAAGTAACACAGCTTCTGCAAATTCAAAGAAGTTCCACCGATCAAGGTGCTAATGCAATACACATATGCTTTGGCGCCAATCGCCGATATGCGAAAACCGACTTCTTCGCAGCAACAAACGGAAGTCAAACACTCCTTTTCGTTCGACCAGTCGTCGAGACTGTTTCTCCAAATGAATCCAGATCAATCCAGCTCGAAGGACCATGGAAATAAACGATTTATTCACAAAACGCAACGAAAAAATTTGACACTACATTTCATTCCGACCATCTCGACCCGAACGTCGAGCTCACGTTTTTGCAATACGTCATCAACTCGCACACAGTCTCCACTCAATTGGACCCAGTGTCCACTCACTCAATAGGCAACGCCTCACACAAATTGAACAAAAAAGTAACACGGAACATAAACTTTCAGTTCGGAACAATCTGTTAGGTCGGAAAAAGACCTCAGTCATCTTAGCTACAGTGGGATTCTTTGATGAGATGGGGGACGATATAACAGTGTTTTCGAAGCATAGCGCTGCGCTAGGAACCTGGTGGAGACCAAGTCTCAAATGCTACCATCCTCTGCATGCCAATAAGCGACGAAAACCAGAAAGAAGAGCAAGCCCACAGATGTGTAAAAGATTATAGAGAAATGGAGAGTTCTTGTTCCCGTCGGTGCACGTATGGTTTTGTTTTCATCTTTTGCTGTTTGAAATCATGTCTCTTGTAGAACCAGATAGACACCAGTGGTATTCCTTGTTATTCTGCCAGATAATTAATACTTAATAAATGAAATTACTTAAACTGGATAGGGAATTAACAAAATTTGTGAATAGTTCATTTCGCAGGTCAATATGACAATAACTGCTCACTTCTTGTGACAGAAAAGCTTCAACAGGAGACTGAAAAAAAAATTTTTTTTGACCATTTACTTTGTACACAAGGTAAAAGGTAGTCGATAACTTTCGACTTTAAAACAGGTTTAAGCTCTGCGTTGGCTCTACGAACTTGCTTTTTTGTCTTAAGGGAGCTACGTCATGATATTTTGAGTGATTTTTACAGTCGTAAAGAGTTGCCTTTAGGTAGATTGAAACCTTGCACCCAGTTGCGTCTGGGTGTAATGTAACTGAGGTCCACGTCTAGAAAAAAGAAAACCTACCGCAACTTATTTATGATTAGTGTTCATCGCGCCAGCGTAACAGAAGGAGTGATAAACTAACCTAGTAGTCATCAGACTAACTTAGATCAACGCAATAAAGTGAAAGCGATGCCGCAACCAAGATATCTGCAAACGTTAAATCTGCGACGAAGACATTGGCCAGAAAAAGTTGATTTACACATTTTACGCAATTTCTGGAAGTAAAAATGTTGGTAAACCGAAAATTCAAGTACATGCTTTATACAAATTCCCTATTGCGTAGGTGTTTCATAATATAGAGCTTTACCTCAACATTGGCTGTAAGCCTAACGGTGACAATACTAATTAGGTAATACAATGCCGTTTTTTCTCTAGATAAGAAGCTATATCGACCTTTTTGACAAATGCACCCAAAACTGGTTTGCAGTGGCACCAATCCTTTAAAGTACGCTTGTGGCTTTAAAGGCTAGTTATTCTAGCCTTAGAGAAGCTTTCTTGCGATCCAATCGCGCTGGGTGCTACCACAATGCATATCTTATTCTTTCATAGGCAAGTCTTGGTGAGCGTGTCGGAATCAGAATCTTGTGCTATGACCGCAGCAATCCCCAAGCCGGCAAAGATGTCTGTGACCGCCGTATAGCCACTCGTAAAAGTCACATGCGGCGATTTATAAAAGAGGGAAATGACATAAACACCGCCAATTACATGAGGGTTGCAATTAAATCGTATGGTGGGATAAAGGGCTTTTATGCCAACTGTAGCAGAAATCCAAGATTCTTTTCACAGTATGACAAAACATAGCAAGACTGGAATTCGAGCACTGAACAATTTCTTGTTCGAGTCAGCTGGACTGAGAGCTTGGAAGGCATACAATGTGGGTACCGGCAGGTTTTTTTCGCTGGTACAGCCTCAGAAGTATTGTACTCCATAAGGTCCCACAGGTGTCAAAGAACCTCAGCCATTTAGCCAAAAAATGCAACCGTTACAAGATGTCGGCACGTTTCGTGCAGGAGCAATGTAGGCCCAAGTTGTTGGACCATAAGCGCCAAGGGAGGTGCAAATGATTCAATCAGACGAGGCAGAGTCAGCAAAACGATTGGTCGCCTCCTATTTCTGCACTGAACAAGGATGTGTCAAAGTCTACAAGGAATTTAAAGGTCTAAAGAAACATCTTGATGTTGGACGCCACCTAATCAAGTTAGAAAGAGAATCGGACTATGACAGCATCATAGGAAAGGGGGCAGAGACCTGTAAAACTGTTACAGGAGACTATGTCCAAGATGAAGTTGGTAGTGCACCGTCAGTGGCAGAATCCCCATCAGTATCAGCTGACAATCGATCACTGGAGGAGGGTTAGGCAATGGAGAAATCAAAGAAGTCAATCCGATTTTCCGAACGCGTTCGCTCTTATTTGCAGGAAACATTATTCCAAGGAGAAGAAACCGGTGTTAAAGCAAATCCCGCTTATACTGTATGTAAAATGAGGAGTCAAAGATCGTCAAATGGAGATAAATTGTTTTCAAATGAAGAATGGCTTTCAACACATCAAGTTGCAACTATTTCAGCAGACTGTCAGCCCTTAACAAGGGTGGTGTCTTGAAGCGAAATGTAAGTGTTTCCCAAGAGGAGGAAGAGGACCTTGATTATATCAGCAAAGTAGAAGCAATGGAGACAAGATTCCAAATAAGACGGGAACTCGAACTTTAATTTAAAACGTGTAATTTATGTATAATTGCGAAGTAATCTCTATTTAATTATGAATAACCTGCAAAAGGCACTCATGAATACTGTGAGGTAAAAAGTACTGGCTATAATATCTGGTGAGGAGCCTGGCAAAACAGTGGAAAGCAAATCCCTTTACATTTGAGTACCACAATGCCACTAGCAACCCCTTGCCACATAACATATAGCAATACAAATTCAATTGTAAGTGCAATGAAACGTGGAAAAGAGCTTAGCACTTATGTCCATTAAATACATATAAGAGGCCAGCTCCAGTCCCAACGTGAATAATTGTGAGCAAGACTACTACTATGGGATACTCCACAAACACTTATTTAGGAAAATCAACTGCAAAAATCAAAATAACCGGGGTATCTTTCAATCTAGCTTCGAAAGCCGTTTTTTATTATTCCCGGATTGGTAAATAATACCACAAAACGTAATTTAAAGGATTGATTATGGCGCGAAGATAATAATTTACTGTAAAATAGTATCTAAAAGTAAGTGCGTAGTAGTTAAAACTAAATAATAGAAAACGATTGAAATAGTACGTAATACTAACTAATAGTGTAGTAACTACAGTTTCATGGGTCTAGTAGAATCACTCTAGTTGCCACATCATAGTTGAGTAGAAATAGAGAAAATTAGTATAGGTAATCGCATGAGGCCGAGTAAAATTAAGGATTAATATCACGCGTGTTTTCAGAAGTTGCTGAAATTGCCCGAGTCGCGCAGTCCCGAAGGCATTTTCTGCAACTTCCAAAAACACAGGTGATATTAATCCTTAATTTTACGAGGAACCATGTGATTACTTGTTTATAATATAAGGGGCAAAATGTTTTCTTACTGATCTCACGCAAAACGGGACGCCATTGTTACAAAACAAACAGAAATTTCTTTACCTTGGCAGCTGTTGCTAAGCAATTTTCATCCTATCATTTTCAAGTATATTTTGCCCGGGGCAATTACAAAAATTAAGAAAAAATGCCCTCTGTCTTGACCAATCACAATTCAGTAATTTTGCCCCTTATATGATAAAATACTAAAACATCCTTTAGTACTTGGGTCACGGATCAATTTTACTATAGGTAGTGTCGGCCGACATGGCGACCGACATGTTGACCGACATATCGGT